GGGGTAACTTAGAATAATGTACAGTGGGGAAAAAAAGTATTTAGTCAGCCACCAATTGTGCAAGTTCTCCCACTTAAAAAGATGAGAGAGGCCTGTAATTTTCATCATAGGTACACGTCAACTATGACAGACAAAATGAGAAAAAAAATCCTGAAAATCGCACTGTAGGATTTTTAATGAATTTATTTGCAAATTATGGTGGAAAATAAGTATTTGGTCAATAACAAAAGTTTCTCAATACTTTGTTATATACCCTTTGTTGGCAATGACACAGGTCAAACGTTTTCTGTAAGTCTTCACAAGGTTTTCACACACTGTTGCTGGTATTTTGGCCCATTCCTCCATGCAGATCTCCTCTAGAGCAGTGATGTTTTGGGGCTGTCGCTGGGCAACACGGACTTTCAACTCCCTCCAAAGATTTTCTATGGGGTTGAGATCTGGAGACTGGCTAGGCCACCCCAGGACCTTGAAATGCTTCTTACGAAGCCACTCCTTCGTTGCCCGGGCGGTGTGTTTGGGATCATTGTCATGCTGAAAGACCCAGCCACGTTTCATCTTCAATGCCCTTGCTGATGGAAGGAGGTTTTCACTCAAAATCTCACGATACATGGCCCCATTCATTCTTTCCTTTACACGGATCAGTCGTCCTGGTCCCTTTGCAGAAAAACAGCCCCAAAGCATGATGTTTCCACCCCCATGCTTCACAGTAGGTATGGTGTTCTTTGGATGCAACTCAGCATTCTTTGTCCTCCAAACACGACGAGTTGAGTTTTTACCAAAAAGTTCTATTTTGGTTTCATCTGACCATATGACATTCTCCCAATCCTCTTCTGGATCATCCAAATGCACTCTAGCAAACTTCAGACGGGCCTGGACGTGTACTGGCTTAAGCAGGGGGACACGTCTGGCACTGCAGGATTTGAGTCCCTGGCGGCGTAGTGTTTTACTGATGGTAGGCTTTGTTACTTTGGTCCCAGCTCTCTGCAGGTCATTCACTAGGTCCCCCCGTGTGGTTCTGGGATTTTTGCTCACCGTTCTTGTGATCATTTTGACCCCACGGGGTGAGATCTTGCGTGGAGCCCCAGATCGAGGGAGATTATCAGTGGTCTTGTATGTCTTCCATTTCCTAATAATTGCTCCCACAGTTGATTTCTTCAAACCAAGCTGCTTACCTATTGCAGATTCAGTCTTCCCAGCCTGGTGCAGGTCTACAATTTTGTTTCTGGTGTCCTTTGACAGCTCTTTGGTCTTGGCCATAGTGGAGTTTGGAGTGTGACTGTTTGAGGTTGTGGACAGGTGTCTTTTATACTGATAACAAGTTCAAACAGGAGCCATTAATAAAGGTAACGAGTGGAGGACAGAGGAGCCTCTTAAAGAAGAAGTTACAGGTCTGTGAGAGCCAGCAATCTTGCTTGTTTGTAGGTGACCAAATACTTATTTTCCACCATAATTTGCAAATAAATTTATTAAAAATCCTACAATGTGATTTTCTGGAGAAAAAAAATTCTCAATTTGTCTATCATAGTTGACGTGTACCTATGATGAAAATTACAGGCCTCTCTCATCTTTTTAAGTGGGAGAACTTGCACAATTGGTGGCTGACTAAATACTTTTTCCCCCCACTGTATCAACATGCTCAATTACAATGGAAGGCATGATGATATTATCCTGGATATTAGGGTTTTCTCTGGAGAGAAAAAAACAACTTTTGGCCACTGTATGCTAAAAACAAAATGCATTGTTGAGAACTTGTACCATAAAAGGTAGACATTCAGCATAAAAATTAAAATATGTTTTCCCTTAAAGCCTTATACAACGCTGGTTCGATTCTGTTTTCCCTTAAAGCCTTATACACCGCTGGTTCTATTCTGTTTTCCCTTAAAACCTTATACACAGCTGGTTCCATTATGTTTTCCCTTAAAGCCTTATACATGGCTGGTTCCATTCTGGGCACTACTACAGTCGTGGTCAAAAGTTTTGAGAATGACACAAGTATTGGTCTTCAAAACGTTTGCTGCTTCAGTGTTTCTAGATATTTTTCTCAGATGTTACTATGGTATACTGAAGTATAATTACAAGCATTCCATAAGTGTCAAAGGCTTTTATTGACAATTACATTACGTTTATGCAAAGAGTCAATATTTGCAGTGTTGACCTTTCTTTTTCAAGACCTCTGCAATCCGCCCTGGCATGCTGTCAATTAACTTCTGGACCACATCCTGACTGATGGCAGCCCATTCTTGCATAATCAATGCTTGGAGTTTGTCAGAATTTGTGGGTTTTTGTTTGTCCACCTACCTCTTGAGGATTGACCACAAGTTCTCAATGGGATTAAGGTCTGGGGAGTTTCCTGGCCATGGACCCAAAATGTTGATGTTTTGTTCCCCGAGCCACTTATTTATCACTTTTGCCTTATGGCAAGGTGCTCAATCATGTTGGAAAAGGCATTGTTCGTCACCAAACTGTTCTTGGATGGTTGGGAGAAGTTGCTCTCGGAGGATGTGTTGGTACCATTCTTTATTCATGGCTGTGTTCTTAGGCAAAATTGTGAGTGAACCCACTCCCTTGGCTGAGAAGCAACCCCACACATGAATGGTCTCAGGATGCTTTACTGTTGGCATGACACTGGACTGATGGTAGCGCTCACCTGATGGTAGCGCTCACCTAAAGAAAATGACTTTACCCCAGTCCTCAGCAGTCCAATCCCTGTACCTTTTGCAGAATATCAGTCTGTCCCTGATGTTTTTCCTGGAGAGAAGTGGCTTCCTCGCTGCCCTTCTTGACACCAGGCCATCCTCCAAAAGTATTTGCCTCACTGTGCGTGCAGATGCACTCACACCTGCCTGCTGCCATTCCTGAGCAAGCTCTGCACTGGTGGTGCCCCGATCCCGCAGCTGAATCAACTTTAGGAGACGGTCCTGGCGCTTGCTGGACTTTCTTGGGCGCCCTGAAGCCTTCTTCACAACAATTGAACCTCTCTCCTTGAAGGTGTTGATAATCCGATAAATGGTTGATTTAGGTGCAATCTTACTAGCAGCAATATCCTTGCCTGTGAAACCCTTTTTGTGCAAAGCAATGATGACGGCACGTGTTTCCTTGCAGGTAACCATGGTTAACAGAGGATGAACAATGATTTCAAGCACCACCCTCCTTTTAAAGCTTCCAGTCTGTTAATCTAACTCAATCAGCATGAAAGAGTGATCTCCAGCCTTGTCCTCGTCAACACTCTCACCTGTGTTAACGAGAGAATCACTGACATGATGTCAGCTGGTCCTTTTGTGGCAGGGCTGAAATGCAGTGGAAATGTTTTTTGGGGATTAAGTTAATTTTCATGGCAAAGAGGGACTTCGCAATTAATTGCAATTCATCTGATCACTCTTCATAACATTCTGGAGTATATGCAAATTGCCATCATAAAAACTGTGGCAGCAGACATTGTGAAAATTAATATTTGTGTTATTCTCAAAACTTTTGACCACGACTGTACTACCAACTAAAGTTAACCGCATACTCACTCACACCATTTTTGGTCCGTAACAGTATATTAGCACATTTTGACATTGAAAAATAGCTCTGTATATCTCAATGGAAAAATAGAGTTGGGAGGGTTGTGTGAAGAAGAAAACAGATGTGTCCATGGAGGAGAGAGGGACCATGGGTCAGTCTCAAATGGCACCCTATTCCCTATACAGAGCCCATAGGGCTCTGGTCAAAAGTAGTGCACTATATAGGGAATCGGGTACCATTTCAGACACAGCAATTGATTTTGTCCAGAAAGACAACATCATTATGGTATAATAACATGAGACAACCCTGATGTGTTTTCCAGGACTGTGGTCAAGGACATGATGATAAATTACATATTTGTAGTTTAATAAGTCTTGTTACTGAACCCTGAGATAAAAAAACATGACCGGCTCATTTTGATTTCAACCAGCATCTGATGTCCGCCATCTTTCTGATATTAGCCATATCACACCTCAAATCTGACCCATTTTATATCAGCCATATCACACCTCAAATCTGACCCATCTTATAACAGCCATATCACACCTCAAATCTGACCCATTTTACAAGTGTAGGATCTTCATTTGATCACCTTGTTGCAGGAGAACTTTCCTGCAATGCAGGACATTTAAAAACGTGTAGTGTATTTGAGGTTTAAAATAGCTTTTGAAGTTTGTAATTTCCACTTTGAAATTTCTGACTTTATTTTCCCTTACGAAAAATGTATTAACCCCCATAAAAATTGCCATTAATTATAATCTATATAATATTTCACATTTTCTATTGCTGCAGGATTATTTTCCTGCTGTAGCAAACTGGCTCAAATTAAGATCCTACATCTTGTATCAGCCATATGCACCTCAAATCTGACCTACCAAAAGAAATGGAGTTCAATCAAAGCCAAAGTGGGGTCAGACAATGTCATTGGTGCTCCAAGGCTGTTCTATTCAGTCAGATTCCCTCAATACTGCTCACTGACAGTAATGAACCCATGCGGACTCAAACCTGTCATTTAAAATGGCCGCTGCCATAAGGAAGAAGAAGATTAAACATAGAAACAGTTAAAACACTGAATTCACTAAACACATGCATGGTCAGTATCAACCACACTCAAACCCCAACATGGAGGAAACGTAATAAGTGCTTGACCTTCATGTGTTCACGCTTCTTTCTCTTCAATCATCAGGAGCCATCTTTTGGCATTGAAATGCACGTTCCTCTCTCAGAACAAATACAGACAAACTCAACAAAAACAACAACGTTTGATCCCCAAGATAAAACTAACAACATAAACGTTATGATACGGTTAATAAGGGCTACATTTCTCATGTGGGTGTGTGTGTGTGTGTATGTGTGTGTGTGTGTGTGTGTGTGTGTGTGTATCTGACTGACCATACATATAGTCCATCAACAACAACGACACTACCCCCCTCCCCCCTCCACCAGCACCACTCTCTCACCAGGAGAGGTGGATTCTGAGATGGCTAACAGACTCAGTTGTGTTTCTTCACTGAACCGTCCGTCGTTGTGCTGTGGTGGTTGTCTGGCGGGCTGAAGTCAGGGCAGAACCCATTGGTCTGGGGCTTGGCGTTGGGCGTGATGTTGGACTGGTGAGGGCAGCCATTCAGGCCTGTATTGTCTGTGGACAGGTAGTCCTCACTGAAGTTTGGTTGCTGCTCTGCAAAGCTCCTGAACTTGTCTGTTACAACCACAGGAGGGTGCCAGACACAACGGTAAGGTTATTCCAAGCAAGTTAAATGCAGTGACACGCCATTAAAAAAAACAAGGAAACAAGTACACATTTACAAAGATAGGCACACTCCTAATATTTACAAATGAAATAAAAAAATAACTAGAGATTACAGAAACAACGTAACTTTGACATATTATTTGTTGCGTTCCAAAATCATCCCACACGAATACTCCAAGAGCAGCTAAACTGAAGGGGGCAGTACAAGCTAAGACATGTTGTTTCTTACCGAAGGTCAGTTTCCCTGTGTCCTCTGTGTCGATAGCAGTGAAGAGACGTGAGACGTTAAGGTCAGCTACTCCTAGCGCTGTCTTTAGGATGCAGGCCAACTCAGCCTCTGTGATCGCACCGTCCTCCTCCGCCTCAAACATCTGGGATATATGCAAATAATAACCAACACACATTAGATGACACGATGACCCTGACCCCTTCATATCTCACTCACACCCGTTGAGCCAGCTGGCGCTCAGACCATAATTTCATAACTACACACACTCTACAACTCACACCATAGGTCATTAGGACGTCTTCTCAAATGGAGAACATCAGAAATATCAGTGGTTGTAAGCCCTCTAAAAGCCCCCTGACAGAGCATGAAACCAGAGCTGGAGCAGAACATACCTTGAAGGCCAGTTTCATGGTCTCCATAGTTTTAGCAGGTCTGCATACAACAGATAAGGCGATGACATATTCTCTGATGTCTATCATGTTGTCTTCCTGCTGGAGAAGAAGAGAGAAAAACAGAGTGAGAGTGGAAATGCACTGGTTAGAAATAATCTAGCAAAGCACATATCTAAATGTAATATCTCATATCTAAATCTGTATTTCAATTTTAAAATACACAATATAGGGGTAACATATTTTTCTGTTTTCTGAGTTTTTAGAAGTTGACCTACATGTAACGTAGGCCTTCAAAGCTCCTAATGGGATGATGATATATTCAGTGTGTTTCCTAACCTCGTTGAAGAGAGAGAAGAGGTCTCTGAGCATGTCTGACACAGGGACATCTAGGTAATGGGCAAAGTCTTCCAGACGCAGCTTCTCTCCCTCCATCTTCCTGGCTCTAGTTCCCAAACTCCTGAAGTCCCTTCTCCACGTTCTGGGGCTTCAACCTGACCAGGTAAAATCAAACTCATTAATACAGAGTCCCTACATTCTGGGGCTTCAACCTGACCAGGTAACATCAACACATTAATACAGAGTCTCTACATTCTGGTGTTCAACCTTGACCAGGTAACATCAACACTTAATACAGAAGGTCGCTACATTATGCTGGGTTCAACCCTGACCAGGTAAATCAACACATAATACCAGGAGTCTCTACATTCTGGGGGTTCAACCTGACCAGGGTAACATTCAACACATTAATACAGATCTCTAACTTCTGGGGTTCAACACTGACCAGTTAACATCAACACATGAATACAGAGTCCCTACATTATGGGGTTTCAACCTGACCAGGTAACATCAACACATAATACAGAGTCTCTACATTCTGGGGCTTCAACCTGACCAGGTAACATCAACACATTAATACAGAGTCTCTACATTCTGGGGCTTCAACCTGACCAGGTAACATCAACACATTAATACAGAGTCTCTACATTCTGGGGTTCAACCTGACCAGGTAACATCAACACATTAATACAGAGTCTCTACATTCTGGGGTTCAACCTGACCAGGTAACATCAACACAATAATACAGAGTCTCTACATTCTGGGGTTCAACCTGACCAGGTAACATCAACACATTAATACAGAGCCTGCTGCACAGTTAAGACAAACACATTCATGCAAAACCAGCTTCAACCGGCTTCAACCTGCGCAATTACCATAAACACAATAACTCTAAGACTGCATATTCACACCGTCATGTAAGCACAAAATCAGCTGCAACACGACACACTAACACAAGACAAAAACACACAAATATACACAGTTCAAATAGACACACACACACAACCTGCACATTGACACCAACGCTTTTTACACATCCTAGGATGAATATGTTGTGTTTTAATATAGGCCCATCACTATGACATTGAGTTAGGGTCAGTAGGATTTCTTATCCAAAGTAATGTAGTAACCTGTTTTTTACCAGACTCCTTACTTAGCCAGATAGCTAGTCATCTGAACTCATTACAAAGCTCACGGCCCTGGGTCTGAACTCCTCTCTATGCTATTGGGTCCTGGACTTCCTGACAGGCTGCCCCCAGGTGGTGAAGGTAGGCAACATTACCTCCTCGACACTGATTCTCAACACGGGGGCCCCCACAAGGGTGTGTCCTCAGTCCCCTCCTGTATTCTCTGTATACCCACGACTGCGTGGCCTCACACAGTTCCAACTCCATCATCAAGTTCGCTGATGACACGACAGTAGTAGGCCTGATTACCAACAACAACGAGACGGACTACAGAGAGGAGGTAGGCACTCTGAAGGCGTGGTGCCAGGTAAACAACCTCTCCCCTCAACGTTAGCAAAACAAAAGAGCTGATTGTGGACTTCAGGAGGAACCAGGCTGGAAACACGCCCCCATCTTCATCAATGGGGCCGCCGTGGAAATGGTCAATAACTTCAAATTCCTCTGCGTACACATCTCAGAGAAGCTGAAATGGTGTAACCACACGGACACCGTAGTGAAGAAGGCACGACGGCAACTCTTCAACCTCAGTATGCTGAAGAAATTCGGCCTGTCCCCGAGGGCGCTCACAGTGTTCTACAGGAGCACCATCAAGAGAATACTGTCAGGCTGCATCACAGCCTGGTGCGGCAACTCCACTGCTGCGGACCGCAAGGCTCTTCAGAGGGCGATACATGCAGACGAACGCACCATTGGGTGCACACTGCTTGCCCTACAGGACACCTACAACACCAGGTGTCACAGGAAGGCCAAGAAGATCATCAGGGACCCCAGCTATGCCCTGTTCTCCCCTTTTGATTCACTCAGACGCGAGCAGTACAGGAGCATCATGGCAAAAACTGTCAGACTGGCCAATAGTTTCTACCCCCAGACCATCAGGCAGCTGAATAGCCACCACTAGTCAGCTACGTCCTTCCCCCTCCTACCCCCCCTATGGTCCTCCAACCCACCCTCAACAGTCTTTACTCTGCCTCCACCCCAATGGACATGTATTTATTGATCACTGCTACAGTTATGATGTATATAGCACTGTTTCTGTTGTTGTTTTATTACCATTTTCATTATTTTATTTCACTCAGTCCTGCAAGTTGGAGCTCCAAGCCTAAGATTTTCACTGTACCCTGCAATCACACCTGGCACCCTGTACTGTACATGTGACTATTAAACACTCTGAATCTGAAAATCACCAATCTGGGCTTTAAAATGTTTCCCCCGCATATTCATCAGCATTTTACATTTAACTGGGCTTTTGGGTTTGGGGTTTTTGGGGGCTGGGGTGGGGGTTTTTTTTTGGGGGGGGGGGGGGGTTTGGGGGGGGGGTTTTTGGGGGGGGGGGGGGCCCCGGGGGGGTTGGGAAAAAAACCGATTTAACTTGAAAAAAAAAAACCGATATTAAGCCCAAAAAGGAATTGCCAAACCTCCCCCCCGCTGGACAGTTTTTTTCAATTTCCCCAGGCCCCCTTTTTAAAAAGGGAAATTTGAACCTTTTTTTGTGGGGGCCCTTTTTTGGGAAATATTCAAAAGTAATAGTGAGGGTTCCCCGGGCCCTGGAAAAAGGATAGGATTTTAAAAAGGGGTTAAAGGGAAAACTGGGGGATTTAAGCCTAAAAAAGTGCCCGTGGCCAAAAAAGTTAAAGGGTTTCCCGATTTTTTTATTCCAACAGAACCTGAAATTTTTAAACTTAGCAAATAAAAGGGAAAGGGTTTAAAAATTTTTTTGGAAAAGGGGCCCCAGGTTGGGGAAATAAAAAGATGGGAAAAAAAGCTTTTAAAAAGGGAAAAGGGGTTTAAAAAAAAGAGTCTTTTGTTTGGGGGCCAAATTTGAGGCCCTGAGGAACAGGTTTGACAACTAGAGCTGAAGAAGGGGAGAGTTAACCAGAAATCTGTTATGGGGGGGGGGGGGGGGGGGGGGGGGGCCCGGGGGGGGGGGGCCCCCTCTAGAGCCCTGAGGAAAAAGAGAAAAAACTAGAGGGATGAGAGAGGTTTAAACCCGTGTCGTGATGGGGCCATTAGAAACCCCGGGAACAGTAGACAAATAGAGCATGGGAGAAGAACCAGAAATCTGTGAAAGGGGCCATCTAGAGCCCGAGGGAAAAGTAGGGCAGAATAGAAACCTGAAGGGGGAGGTTTAAAAGGAGTTCTTAGGGGCCACAACCTTTTTTGGAACCCCAAACACTTAACAAAAAGTTAACCCCTGCAGGGGCCCAAAAACTGACCCAAAAAACCCGTAACCCCTTTAAATAAGCCCAAGGGGGAATAAAATGGAGTAAATAACCCCACTGTCCCAAAACACCCCACCGTTAATTTTTAAACCCCCAAAACACTTTAAAAAAAATTAAAACCCCCGCCAAAAAACGGTTTCACCATTAACCCACCCCAGGGACCCCCCGTTAACCCCAATGCAAAGGTTTCTGTTTGGGACAATCACGGCCCCTACAAGTTTTTAAAAAAAAAAAACAGGGCTTTTCCCTTTAAATTTAAAAAAACAATTAAAAAAAGAAAAAAAACGGGGGTGTCCTCTTCTTAGGCTTGGTTTTAAGGCATTGGGCCGCCCGTGAAATGGTTTTCAGGGGAAAGGCCCCGGGGGGGCCTGTACATGAAAAAATTTTTCGGGTAAATTTCCCCCGGATTCCTTTTTCCTAGGCCCAAAGGGTGAGCCCAAACAGAGCAGGGGGGTTTTTTCCTTGGGGAAAGGGACGGGAGGGGGGAAATAGGGAAGGGGGAAGCAGGGGGGCAAGAGGGAAAGGGACCCCGACATCGAATAAGGGGGAAGGGGGGAAACAAAGGGGAACCCGGGCAAGGGGAAAAAGGGAAAAAGGGGGGACGAAGTAAATTTCAAGGGAAAACCCCCGGTTTGGCCCGGGCGGGGCCCAACTGGGGCTAAAAGGGAAGGGGGCAGAGCAGTAAAAATAGGGGAAGGGGAAAACCCGTGGAACTAGGGCAAGGGACAGAGCAGTGGAATAGGGAAAGGGCCCCCCAGTTTGGGAAATAGGGCAAGGGGCAATAAAAAGGGGGGCCCCCAAAAACCCGGGGAAGGGGGCCCAAAAAAGGAGGTTTTTGGGGGACACTGGGAAGGGGGAAAAACCTAACTAAAAATCAGAAGGGGAACCCCCAAAAGGGACAGACAGGAACCCGGGCTGGGGAAAGGGTTAAAAGGGGGCAAAGGGCCCGCAAACCCTGGAAAAAAAGGCCCGAGAATGGTTTGGAGCCAAAGGGGCTTTTAAAAAAAAAAAATACCCGTATTTTGAAAAACCCCCAAATTTAAAAGGTTAGCTTTTTTGTCCTGTAGAAAATTTGGGAAAATTTAATCACTTAAGTAAAAGTTTTGGAACCCCAAATTTTGGGCGCAATTTGGAAAGGCCCCAAAAAAACAAGCCCCCATGAAAATTTGGGAAAAAACTGGGAAATGGCTTGGGGTTGAAATTGGCATTGAAATTTTTGGTTCTGGTTTCCCTCGGGTCCTTTTGTTTGGGCCACCCCCCTTCCCCCCTAAAAACTGGAAAGTCCCCCAAATTCCTCTGGAAAAGAAGAAACGTCAAACGCAAAACTGTTTGTCGGGGGGCTTTTTTAAATGGGTTTCCATGGCCGAGCAGCCGTCACAAGCCTAAAAATCTCCATGTGCAATGCCAAAAAATTTTGATGGAGTGGGTTTTAAAGTCGCCGCCATTGGGGGCTTGGAGCGGGGGGGGATTGGGGGAAAGGGTTTCTGGAGGGGATGAATCAAGCCTTTTACCCTCTGGCAGTCCCCACGGATTTAATCGGGGGGTTTTGGGGGGGAAAAGCAAAGGAAAAACATACGTGCCCCATGCACAAAAACCCAGGTCCATTTCAGAAAAGGTTTTTTCAAGGGCCCGGTTTTTAGAAGGGAAATTGGGAAAAGGGCCCGCACCCAAAGGCCGGGCCTTTAAACCC